TCTATCTATCTATCTATCTATCTATCTATCTATCTATCTATCTATCTAAGCAACAACATGAAATTCAGTTTCCATGATGTAAAGGTCCAATAGTGTTCCTGGCTAATTAATCTCTAGAAAGATTTAAACGCAGAAGCTGCCAACTATTGTGGCTCACACGTGTAATCCCAGCATAAGGCTGAGACAGGAAGAGTGTCAGGCCAGCCTGAGCTGGAATGTGGCCTTGTCTAGAAAAAAGGCAGAGGTTGGGTGTAAAAGCATATGAAAAGGGCTTCCCCTACACACAACACCCCTGGAGATCTGGGGTAAAGACCAAGCAAGAATGTTCTACGAATGCCATAAGAGCTTCTGGCAAGGTTAACATGCCCTAACCTGCTTTAAAAATTACTATTCACTGCCTTCATCCCAACCTAATTTTATTCATGCTATTCTTTTGGATAACGCTACAAAAAGAAAAAAAAAAATCCCCAGAGCAAATTCTTGTGTATTTATTTCAATATCCTGCCTACTTTATAAGAACGGAAGAGTCAAACACAGCAGAGGAAAAACGTGACGTGCACAACTTTCTTCATCCAAAACACAGCTCGTCGTGGTCTAATTTTGGGCCTAACCTGTTCAGTTGTCTCTTTTGAAGGGTTAGAACTGAAAAGATAGAACATCCACAAGGCCCTTGTAAAGAAGAACCTGGCTGCTATCGCTGGAAGTGGTTTATTTATCAGAGAGGAAACAAACCTCACTCCCACTCTACCTATTCCTATTAAGGTAGGGGATGGAAAGAACTGCCACAACGGCAATTATTTTACACACTTCGGTCTTTGACGACTTGATCTACAACTAATCAAAAGGTTGAGTCCACGGAGTTCTTTGAAGCAACGTTTCTGTAAGAGAGCGCGAGTTTCAGACAGCCAAACATGGTGAAAAGCCAACCTCAGCCCAAGTTAACCTTAAGAAGCAAATATTCACCTCCTGGCTGAAGATCAAGCAAAAACTTTGAGACGATCCTTAAGCTGTGTTCTAAAGCGCAGCCTCCCAGAGCCCTGGAAAACTTTTCTCCTGATGTGGAGAATGAGGAAGAGTTTACAGGTTGAACCTCAGGGGCTCGCGACAGGATTCCCGAGCGTCGAGGCTGCAGCGAACGCAGCCGGTAAAGGAGGGAACAAGCAGGGACAAACCCGCGCTGTCCGGTGCAGCGCCGGCGGGAGAAAAGGGCGAGGGCGGCCGGCCAGAGCCGGGGTCCCCGCAGCCCAGCAAGCTTCCTCTCGGCCCGAGCTGAGAGCCGGGGCGCAGACAATGAGCCACCGCCCGGAGCCGCCGGCCCGCTCGCAGGTGTCGGCATCCCGGGCCACTGGGCCCAGGCCGCGGAGGGGGGAGGAGGGCGGCGGCCCGGCCCGGGCGAGCGGCGTCCGCACTTACCAGAGAGGAAAGGTTTCTGCCCGACCCAGGGCGGGCTGCCGGGCCGACGCGGGCGAGGGCTGCTGAGCTGGGCGGCAGAGAGGAAGGAGGGCAGGGCGGAGGGGAGCGGCGCGGGGCGCGGCCGTCGCTACCGAGGACGTGAGGCGCAGAGCCCCGCGGGCCAGGGAGGGGAGGGCAGGAGCCTTCGGCAATGGCGACGGCCCGGGCCAGAGGGGAAGCGGAACAACCGCTGCCGCTGCGCGTGGCCACAACCCTGGGGGAGGGCAGCGTCGGAGCGGGGCGGGACCGAAACCTGACCCCGCCCCATCAGCGCGTCACTCCCGAGGGGAGGGCCTGCATAGGGCTGCTGGGAATCGTAGTCCAGTCACCTGATGGGGAGGCGGGGGAGGGTTGGGATTATAGAAAAAACTTGTCCTTCATTTAATTCAGCATTATATATTGTCTGCAGTTCCGTTTTACCTACTGAAGATGCAGAGGGAGAACATCTGATCCATACATGTTTATGCATACAGGAACTTTGTTTCTGAGAACTTATATATTTAGCACTTTGCTCCCCCCCCCCCCACACACACACACAAAGACAGGGTTTTACTGTAGCCCTGGTTGTCCTGGAACTTTGTAGACCAGGCTGACTTCCAACTCAGAGATCCGCCTGTTTCTGTCTCCTGAGCGCTGGGATTAAAGGAGTGCCCCACCACTGCCCAGCTCACTTTTGCTTTTTTTAACTTCCACATTAAACCAGATTATGCTGTTAAATTAGGTCCTCCTCCTAGCAAACAAAGATTTTTATCTTTCTGTATTTTATCAACACAGGAGTTAAGCTATGTATTATTATTCTTCAACTATGTCAATGTCTAATATCTACAAAGGAGACCATTAGAAACCAGGGACTTGAGGATGGACATGCCTTCCCTAGTCTTTGTAACTTTAAAACTATGAAAACAGAATAATAAAAGCAGAGGCAGGCGTATCTCTGTAAATTAGAGGAGAGCCTGGTCTACAAAGTGAGTCCAGGACAGCCAACACTATACAGAGAAGCCGTGTCTCGAAAAACCAAGAAAGAAGAAAGAAAGGAAGGAAGGAAGGAAGGAAGGAAGGAAGGAAGGAAGGAAGGAAGGAAGGAAGGAAGGAAGGAAAGAAGAAAGAAAGAAGGAAGGAAGGAAGAAAGAAAGGAAGGAAGGAAGGAAGGAAGGAAGGAAGAAAAGAAGAAAGAGGAAGGAAAGAGAAAGCAGGAAAGAAAGAGAAAACAGAAAGAGAGCCAGAAGCAACCAGGGGAAAGGATTACAATCAGGAAGAGGAATGCCAAAGTCAGCAAAGACCCTTGTAGGGCTATAGAGATGGCTCGGCCATTAAAGGTTAGGCTCACAACCAAAAACTGTAAGAAGCCTTGTGTAGTGGCAGCTTGGTGTGAGAGTAGAAAACACTGGAGTACGAGAGATATGATGAAGCAAACCTGTAATTCTAGCACTTGGATAACTGAGGTAAGATCCAAGAAAACAAAACAAAAACAAAGAAAAACAAACTTCACAGCAGACAAGATTCAAGTCACAAAGAATCTTAAATGTTATGGTAAGAAGGGTGTGCTTTATTTCAAAAAGTCATTAAATGATTTTAAGCAGAGCAACAATTTTGCCTGATTTCCCCTGTAAGCTTGTTAGATTGTCAGGTGCAGTGGTGCATGCCTGCAATCCCAGCATTTGGGAGGCTGAGGTAGGAGAGTTTAAGACCAGCCTGGATCACATATAAAGACTCATCTAAAAAGAAGAAGGAGGAGGAGAAGGGGAAAGGGGGAGGGGAGTGTCAGCTAGATAAATCAATAGGTAATGGTGCTTGCCACCAAGATTCACCACCTGAGCTTGATACCCAGGACCACCTGGTAGAAGAGAACTCTGACCTCCATACCTGCACCCTGCCCCTCCCCCCAAAATAAAATGACAGAAAAATGAAGTAGGGACAGTAATTCTAAGAGATTCCAGAACATAGTAGTGGAAATAGAGTAAGAAGTTTGTGCTCTGTTTCGAGAAAAATAACTGCTATGAAGAGCAGAGAAAAAGACACAAGATAACTCAAAAGTGTTCGCTCACTGTCAAACACAGAAACACTTGCTGAAATGTGACATCCTTGCAGAAACATAGCTAAGTTGTCACTGGAGAAGAATGCCTCTCTCTGGTAGTTCTCCAAACCCCAGGCTCAACCCCAAACAAGGAGAAAACAGAGTGACTGAAGCCATGTTTGTCCAGGTTAAGATACCAATTTCCCTTGAAAAATCTCCAGGGTTTTGATAGCTGCTCAGGAGATGGCAGTGAGGCTACAGAATACCACCGTGACCAGGAGAAACCCAAACAAAGACAGTTCTCTACAGATGAACAACTACTAAATTCACACCAGATTTCTTAGCTAGGCATGGTGATATATACCTATGAATCTGAGGCCTGCCTGGGCTGTGATACCCTGTTGCAAACAGGCAATAAATCATACATATCTCAAAAGCAATCATGGATGTAATGGAATAAAAACCTCAAAGTACTGAGAGAAAATAAGTAAACTTAGAAATGTACACATAGCTAGAACAATTACCAGGATACCTACAAAAGATATAATTCATACCAGGCATAGTGGTGGCAGCTGGAAATCCCAGCATCTGGGAGGTAGAGGAAGGATAAGGAGATAAAGAGTTCAAGGATTACATAGTGAATGGAGGCCAGATGAACTACATGACAGGGAGAGAGAGAGAGGGAGGAAAAGGGGGAGAAAAAATGGGGAGAAGAGGGGGAAAAGGGGAGGAGAAAAGGAGGAGGACAGGGAGGGGATAGGAAAGGGGTGGGAGAGGGAGAAAGAGAAGAAAAGGAGGGGAGGCAAGGGAGAGGAGGGAGGAGAGGGGAGGCAGGAGAAGTGGAGGGAAGAGAAAGGAAAAGGAGGGGAGGGATGAGTGTGGGATGGCAGAGAAAGGGGAGGGAGGAGAGGGAGAGAGAATGAAAATTAAGGTTAAAAAAAACAAACAAGAAATAAAATGAGTAACTACTACTATCACTGCTTAGGGCAATTCTGAAATGCACACTTGGGGCAAACCATTTTATTTTCTGTAGCCTTCCAAATCCTACATTCAGCCACCTGTACTAACATAGGATACATGTTTGAATAACATAGGATTGTACATCACTTCCCATGGATGTTCATCACTTCGCTCTAATTCCATTCTCATATAATTAGCATTGAACACAGATTATCAAAACAAGTAGCTTCCCTAGAATAACCCTTAAATCCGCTATATCCCCATTCGTTAGAGCTGCAAAGGATCACTCTAGTTCCTAGAGCATGCAGCAATCTCCAAAATAACTAGCTAACGGATATACATTCTTGGAAAGTGACTGAGATACACATTAATATACATCTGCTTCCCTCCCACCACCCCTAGCAGAGATGAGCAGTTTTTCTGTTTTCTGTATCCAAAAGGACCTAACACAGCTCTCTAAAATAAATAAACCATAAAAGTAGAACAAAAACTCGGAGATAATGAACAGAGCAACATTATTCATTCTCTCGGCCTGAAACCAAAAAGACCGCACACAAAACTATAAAACTGGCTGAAAATATAAAACACCTACTCAGTGTCTATCAAAGAAAGATACTATTAAAAGCCAAACTCGGACATGTGCTTGTGTCAGAATTAGTATCATCTACTGGTCAGGCAACAAGAGTCATATCAAAGATTGAGTCATTCATATGCTTTTCTCGCACTTCTCAACATCCTTATAAGTGAATTCCACTCTGGATTATGCAGTAAGACACAATCTTAAATATTAATGTTAAGTTTTAAAGGCTGATGAAATTTGGTTCAACTGAACACAAGGATTTTACGAACATACGTGCACACACGCACGCATGCAGAACATGAGTATACATGCGTACCTATACTTAAGCAAAGGTGGAGGTTAAAAAAAAAAGGGGGGATAGGGAGGCTAGAGAGATGGCTCAGCAGTTAAGAGCACTGGCTGCTCTTCCAGAGGACTGGTATAATTCTCAGCTCCTACATGGCAGCTCACAGCCATCTGTAACTCCAGTTCCAGGGGATCTGATGTCTTTATGGGTAAAGGACACTTGAAGTACACATACATTCATGCAGGCAAAACACTCAGACACATAAATGAAGCAAAGTTTTAATGCACTTTGACTCTCCGTAGGATAAAGGACTAAGTAGTAGGATCTAGTTGTTTTTTTTTTTTTTTTTTATCTGATGAGTTTTTTTTCTCAGCTTTGGTTTTATTTTTAAATCTTCCTTACTTTCTCTTGTGTACAACAACAACTCAGTTATCTTCTGCCACTGTGGGGGATCCACAGAGGTAGAGCCCCCTGAGGTGGTAGATCTACCTGAGGACTTCCACCTCAGGTAGAGTCAGGCCTGTGCCCAAGCGCCTCTACAGATAAGTCACCTCACCAATCCCATGCCTTGCTTCTTTTGAGCTTCAGAAGAATACAAAAGAGGCAGTGCTAAAGCAGGGTAAGTTCAAGAGCAGTGGTTCTCAGCCTTGTAGGTACAAGGTTATTGTGTAATTCAAATGCTGATCCCCCCCCCACCGCGCCATATCTGGTTGCAAAACTTGTTCTGAAAATCTCCTGTCATGAAGTTAAGGTTTAATTACTCTTTCTTAAATTTTATAAGTATGGTGTTTTGTCTGAATCAATGTCTGCATACCACTTGTATGCCTAGTGTCTGAGGCCAGACGAAAGCATTCAGTCCCCTGGGATTCAAATTACAGATGATTGTGAGCTAGCATGTAAGTACTGGGAATTGAACCTCGGTACTCTCGAAGAGCTGAAAATGCTCTTACCCACTGTAAATTACTCTAATTTTCATCTAAATTGTTTTACTCTTAATTATAAGGGTGTCTTTCATGTTAATTATAAATTAAAAGGTTCTATTCACAAAATGAGAATAATTTAACACTAATAAATAATAAACTCAGGGACAGATGGCTCAGAGGTTAAGAGCACTGGTTCACTGTCCGCTCTTCCAAAGGTCCTGAGTTCAATTCCCAGCAACCACATGGTGGCTCACAACCATCTATAAAGAGATCTGGTACCGCTTTCTGGTATGTTAGCAGAATACTGTATAAATAATAAATTAATAAATCTTAAAAAAAAAAGAATGAAACTCATTTTCTACATCAATTGAGACAGTCACTTCTATGTATTAATTTAACACAATGGAACCTCCTCTGCTAGACACCAGAGCACTTGGAGATTATATAACAGAACACTAAAGTTTGCAATTATCTGACAATGACCCAAAATTTCTCCTGGGAAACTTAATATTTCCATTGTTTGTTTTTTGGACAGGGTCTCACCGTGTCCACCAGGCTGCCCATGAACTGACAGCAATCTGGCTGGCAAACACAACTTTAGCCATAGGGAAGACAAACGGTTAAGTCTGAAAAGAACACTTCTTGTCACAAATGAATAGGGCTCATTTATTAGGTTCATAGGAAACATTTAACTGCATAAAACTTACAGGGAAAAATGGCCATATTTGAAAACAGCTACAAGGATCAAAGTGGAACACAGGATCGTAATGAGCAGGGTCACAGAGCACACTAAAGAGGTATGTATAGTGAGTCCCACTGGCACTTGTAGGGTCAAATTCTTAAGTACCTGTGGAGAGAGGGGAACAGAAAATTAGAGACATTTAATAACTTCAGTGCTCAACTATGGATGGGTCATCTACACCAAGCTCCCACCAGTCAAGGCTCTAGAAACTTCTCACAAGAGGGGCAGAAAGAATGTAGGAGTCAGAAGATGTGCAAGACAGCTGTGACATGCACACTTGTGATCCAGGAGCCATAGGTAGTTGATGGCTGCTTTCCTTATACTCTCCTTTGGGGATATGGTCACTGGAACTTTGCTCATGCCCCTGGGGACAGCCACACGGCCATGTGCACATGGACAGCACTGACTAGATTCATTAGGTTATGAAGAAAATTTAAGAGAGGGTGTTTCCGTACTGTAGTGGTTATCATGCTTGCCTAACACACAAGAGGTCCCCGGTTTCAAACCGGGCAGAAACATCGATTTGGTTCTTTGACTGTCTCTGACATGAACTCAATGGCTGGCTCTCTGACCTCCCCACCCCTGAGGGAGGAGCAGCCTTGGTAGCACACAGAGGAGGACATTGCAGCCAGTCCTGAAGAGACCTGATAAGCTACGGTCAGATGGAAAGGGAGGAGGACCTCCCCTATCAGTGGACTTAGAGAGGGGTAGGGAGGAGATGAGGGAGGGAGGGTGGGATTGGGAGGGAATGAGAGAGGGGGCTACAGCTGGGATACAAAGTAAATAAACACAGCCAACATATTCTGTATTAGAATACATGCTAGCCCTTTAAAGACAGCAGACGGGCCTTGAAATGCGGCTATTTGGAAGCAACACAAAGCATCTTACTGGTTGATACTGCATGTTCCTCCATTGGCAGGTCTCCTCACTCTTCAAAGCACAGGGAGCTGCTACTTCTGACTGAGCCCAGCATCTGAAAATCGGGAACTCTGAGAAAAAAAAAGGGGGGAGGGAGGCAAAAGACGTAAGAAAGCTTGTATTTTGATTCAAGGCTATAGCTTGTCTTGCATTTCACTGGGAATCATCCGTGTTGGAATACGAGAATACAAACATTTCAACGCTCAGTGTAGATGGCTTAGGATCCATCTATCCCAGGCTGGTTCCCTGGGGTCCTTTCTTACATAGATGCCTAAGAGACACAAAACTGCAGTGGGGATCACAGAATTGAAACATGGTTTGTGAACAAATTCCATTAAAAATGTTATCTTTTTTTGGAAGCATCACTTCAGGAAAAAAAAGGGGGGGGGGGCTATTGTTTCAAATACATGTTCTGAAGTGTCTGAATTATATTCAGAAAAGGGAACACATCTTCAGTATACAGCTGGGAAATTTCCATATCAAACATTGCCATGAAAAGCACTCAGATCAAAACAAAGAGTATCAGAATTCTGTGTTCTCTCAGGAGAAACACTTCCTCAAAGTTTACTTAGGATAAATAATGGTGTCATTAACAGGAACAGAAAACATGGCTTAGAGAAAGCGAATCCCGTGAAATAGCCTTTAACGTTCATATCGGGAAAGGAGTAACAGAAACAAGGTAAGGTTAAAAATCCCCTCCTACTAGTTACTAGCAACACCGCTGTTAGCATCTGTAAGTAGCCCACGTTTGGAGACTAGGAAGAATTAAAACCTGAAAGAGCTTCTTAAACTAAATAAAAGGCCTTGATTCTGAGGCACTATGAAGAAATTATCAAAGAACAGTACTTTCAGTTTTATTTTGTTGTTTGACAACAATTTCATGTAGCCTAAATTGGCCTTGAACTCACTACTTAGCCAAGGATGGCTGTCAACTCCTGATCCCTCCTCTATCCCAAGTTTTACGGGTGTCCATACACCTGGCTTTTTTTTTTCCCCTCTTTCCTTGTATATTTTGAGACAGGGCCTCACCATACAGTCCAAAATGCCTTCAAACTCTTGATCCTTCTCTCCCAGCCACTAGAGTACTAGGATTAGAGGTATGCACCGCCAAGTCCAGCAAGAATAGTTTTGTAATTTACCCAAATCTCCACATAAAAGCAGAACTGTAGAGTGAGCCCCAAAGCTCATGAACAAAGTCTGCAACCAATGGAACAAGTACCCCACAAAAACAGCACAGGATAGAGGAAACAAAGCACTAAAACCTCAAAACCCTGTGAGCCATTGTAAAAACAGAAAACAGGGACTGGACTCTGCAGTTAAGAACATTTGCTCAGTTCCAGGACAGCCAGGACAGCCAGAGCTATACAGAGAAACCCTGTCTTGTAAAACCAACCAAACAAAAAAAAGAACCTTTGCTCTTTTTACAAAGGACCCAGGTTTGGCTCCCAGCACGCATATGGTAGCTCACAACGAACCATAGCCACCATTACACGGCGCATATACATACATGCAGGCAAACGTTCACACGTAAAATAAATCTAAAACAGAACAGAGAGCAGCAAAGGAGCGGCAGGCGACTCTCTCACCACTCAGGAGTCTGGGACAAGATGGTCAAGGCTGTCAAGATTGGCCTGTAAACTACAAAGCGAGTTTAAGGCAACAGCGGCCTACACAGAAAGAGCCATGACCAGATATTACATGTCCACTCACAAAAGAACATAGTACTTACACTCTTGCCAAAGGAACCACACATGAATGACTCTGATCATATCCCTGGAGTCACGGGCTCATTCCAGAAAATAAGAGTTACATGAGTACATTCAGAAAAGCCGGAACAGTAAGAAACCTTCAGGTCAATGTGCCTTCCAAAAGAGTTTCCAACAGAAGAGAGACACACAAGGGCAGTGGTGGCACACACCTTTAATCCCAGCACTCTGAAGGCAGAAGCATGAGGATCTCTGAGTTCAAGGCCAGCCTGGTCTACAGAGTTCCAGGACAGCCAGGACTGTTACACAGAGAAACCTGATCTGAAATACAGATAGCTAGCTAGGTGTGTGTGTGTGTGTGTGTGTGTGTGTGTGTGTACATGTGCAGAGGACATTTTTAGGACTTGGTCTCTGCCATCATGCAGGTCTTGGGGATCATGCATGTAGGTGGTCAGGCCCTAGCAAGCAGGCGCCTGACCGGCTGAGCGGCCTTACAGGCCTGTGAAGTTTTATTTTCTGACCTAGGTGGCACTTATAGCCCTCTGCCTTACAAGAATTCCCCAAGTCATGTGTATGTGGTTTTTCTGTGTGAGCTTAATATTATAACAGAAAGGTTTACAAAGGAAGACAGGTTTGCCATTCTTGTCCTTGGCGAAAGCTTGCTGCCACACCTTCATTCTTATTTGTAACCCTCAGAAGGTGTGCACCCCTTACCTTGGTCACAGTACATCAGTAAGTCAGGGTTGTTGACCACGATAAGCGTGTCTCCATCTTTCCTGTGTGGCCGGTGATAGCGATAGTGCACAGGCAAAAGGGCTTGGAAGCAATCAATGCACTGTGCATCTTGCCGGGCATAAATGAGGACTTCAGATTCTTTGGACAAATAGTTGGGGGCTTCTATATTAAAACTTTCTGATATCATCACTGCCTGTTGAAGAAAAAGCAAGTGTTAATAAAGAAGAAACTATGAATGAAAAAAAATTAAAAGAGACAGAAAGTAAAACCCAAAGACTGCTGTACAGATAGGCAGGAGCATCAAATGTACTCCTGCTATCGGCTGTTTCCAACCCTTTTCACCCTCCACTGTATATAGAAAACACAGGATATGATCTACGAATAATAAAAGTACAGTAGGGAACAACTGTTGACAAAAACCGTCAACTTGTGTTAGATTAAGATGACTGGTATCATCCTGCCATTTCCTGTTCTCTGGTGAAGTAAAATGGTAGTGAGTTAAGACAGAGTACCGCAGGCAGGAAGCCGAGCAAAGGTCAGCAACTTTCTAGAGTGGGTATAAAATGGAAATGTGAAAAATAATTTTATTTTTGAGGTGCTGGGGCTCAAAACCAGGGCTTTATACACTCTAGGCAAGAGATCTACCACTAAACAAATTTAACCACTTCCAACAAATTATACTCTCTTTGTCTCTGTCTCTCTCTGCCTCTCTCTCTCTTTGCCTCTTTCTGCCCCCATCTCTCTCTCTCTCTCTCTCTCTCTCTCTCATACACACACACACACACACACACACAGTGTCTAGAGTGTCTCACTGTTTAGCTAAGGCTAGATTTGAAATTACTCTACACCTCAGGTTAGCCTTAAACTTGGCAATTCTCCGGCCTCACCCTTCCTTCCAAGTGCTAAAATTACAGATACGCACCATCATTCCTAAACAGCAAATTACATTAAAAAAAAAAATCTCTGAAAGATGGTTCCCTAGATAAGAGGACTTGCTGAGCAAGTCTGACTACCCAACTTCAACCTCTGAACTATATTGTGCAAGGAGACCGCTGACTCCAAACAGCTTCCCACTGGACTAAGGAGATGGCCTGGTGGTTAAGAGCACACGCTTCTCTTATCTTGTAGACCACCGTTTGAGTCCCATCATCCATGCTGGATACTCACGAGTGTCTGTGAGCTCTAGTTCCAAAAGATCTGAGACCCTCTTCTTGGCTCTGCGGACACCTACCACAAGTGTACACACTCGCACAGACACATACATAAAAATATAAAAGCTGTCTTCCGACGTCTCCATGTGTGCCATGGAGTACACACCTGCACCCAACACTAAACAAAACAGGGCCAGAGAGACGGCTTGTGTTTAATAGCTCTTACAGAGCACTTGAGCTTGGCTCACAGTGCTCATGTTGGTCAGCTCACAAGTGCCTGTAACCCCAGGCCTCTTCTGGCCTCCACAGGCTCCCACATATACATACATACAACACACACATACATACATACATACATACATATGTATAAACAATTAAAAACTAAATAAAGCTTTAGAAGATAAAATTAAAAATTATGTGTTTTTTTAAAATATGATTAAGAGTCCAGCACGGCAGTGTTCAACTCTAACCTCAGCTCCTGGGAGGTAGGGGCAGGTGGAGTTCTAGGAGTCTGGTCTACATAGTGAGTTCTAAGCCAGCCAGCGCTACATGGTCAGACCCTGTCTCAAAAACCAAGACCACCCAAACCAAAAAAAAAAAATGTGTTTAGAGCCACTTAAAAATAAATATCCTAAGCCAAGCATGGTGACACATGTCTATCATGAGCAAGAACAACTGGTGCTATAGGCCAGTACATAAAATTTCTCCTGATGAAACTTTTTTTAATGTAATGAAATTTCCAGCACTTAGGAAGCTGAGACAAGAGTACTGCAAGTTCAAAGTTAGCCTGGGCTACAGAGTGAGCAAATTCCAGGTCAACCCATACTAGCTGTGACTCAAAAAAAAAAGGTATGTATTCCACACTAAAAGTAATAATACAGAGGTGCAGAGAATTGTTGTATTGGAAATCTGTATACACAGTAGAACTCTATGTAGACTTGGCTGGCTTCTAATTCACAGGTATCCCGTCTCTACCTCCTGAGTATTGGCTAAAGGCATGTGTTACCACAGCTGGCTATGGCTGCATTCTGATATTTGAAAATCTGTGGTATAATGGGGAACAGAATTCTTACGGCTATCATAAGCAAGAACAATCCAAAGTTATAATGTATTGACTTAGCATATTCATGTGATACACACATGTATGTGGACACATGCACACTCACTCACGCCTCCCTTCTCTTAACGGTCTGATACAGCCCAGAGAAACCATTAGCATTAGTTAGCACTGTCACAGCAAGCAGTATAATTTTCCTATGTGGCTGTGACAGCAAGCCCCATATGCTTCTCACATGTTCTTTCTCTCTTACCCACAGAAATAAGAACCCACTAGCCAAGGTCAGGCTTATATACAGACTTACGAATCATTAAGGGACCTCAAAAGTGACCACGTTAAACCACTGTCTCAAGAAAGAGATTTACCGAGTAGCTCAGCCACTACTTTAATACCTTAATGGCCACAAGGGAGCTCATTACTTTAAAGCTCACTCTATCTACTGTTAGAAGGGTACTTAATTTCATCAAGAGAAAAATTATGTACTGGCCTATAGCGCCAGTTGTTCTTGCTCATGATGCTGCAGTAATTCTGTTTCGCTATTATACTACAGAGTTTCATGTATCAGAATGTAGCCATAGCCAGGCACAATAACACATGCCTTTAGCCCCAACACTCAGGAGGCAGAGGCAGAGGCAGGTAGATCTCTGTGAGTTAGAAGCTAGCCTAGTCGATACAGAGTTCCAGGCCAGCCAGGGATACACTGTGTATACTGATATCATAATCTTTATTTCTTTTCTTTTTTTTTTGGGGGGGGGGGGACCATCAAGAGAACAATCTGAGGTGTCAGGCCTCATCTTCCAACTTACTTGAAACACCACTATGGCAGCCTCGTGGCCTTGATAGCTTCTGGGGCTCACCTTCACTCCTCCTCCCTCTGCCTCTCTTCTCCCCGCAGAAGCAACGGGATTACAGACACTTGCTCCTCAGCACATGAGTTGTGGGGACTTGAACTCAGGTCCTCATGCTTCTATGGCAAGTGTTTTCACCCACTGAGCCTTCGCTCCAGACCCTTAATTATTTAATTGGCATCTTTCTTCTTTCTTACATAGTCATTTAGTGTTGTGACTTGGTTTTTAAGTAGTTTTAGCAGCAACCTACTAATTGTGAGAGTGTTTTCACTTTTCATTCATTATTTCTTCTTTCCCTTAGAAATACATTATTAATATTAGAAATACAAATACTTGAGGACTGGAAGATGCCTGGATGTGTAAAGTGCTCAGTGAGCACACCTGCGGACTTGGGTTCCGATTTCTAGAACCCACATAAGAGCCAGACACAGTCCTGCATGCCTGCACCTTTGGAGCTGGTGAGGGACGGGAGGGGAGGACAGGTGGATTCTGGTCAGCTCCAGGTTCAGTGCGGCAGTCTGAATGAGAACGGCCCTCATAAGCTCGGATGTGTGAAAGCTTGGTGGCCAGTTGGCGGCTGTTTGGGAAGGATTAGGAAGGTGTGGCCCCGTTGAAGGAAGTGGTGTGGGGGCAGGACAGACAGGCTTTTAGGTTTCAAAAGCCTCCACAAACCCCAGTGTGCACTCTGCCCCCTGCTTATAGATGAGCTCTCAGCCGTTGCTCCAGCAGCCTGACACAGACTCTGGAACCGAAACACCAATTTCACTTTCTTTTTTGAGTTGTCTTGGTCATGGTGTTCTATGACAGCAATAGGAAAGTAACTAATACAGACCCTGTGTCAAGCTGTGGACTCACACAGGCACACACAGGTGCATGCACACTAAAAAGGCAGGCAAAAGGCCAGCACATCTTTAGTATTAGCAAGGTGGAAACTATTAAGCCTGAATCTCCTCAGAGGCAGAGACACACACATGTATACAGAAGTTTCTCAGTCACTAACCTACAAACTGACAAGCTTTTGACTGCCTCAGGGTAACTGGCTTAATCCTGACGTCACTACTTTGCTGAAGACTAAGCCTGTGCCATTGCAAACAAATACTTTAAAAACTTTAACAAAATTTAAGCTACTTTAATCCAAATCCCAGCATTCCTACATCCACTTCTCTTTTAAAATTCCCCAATGGCTGTACCTCTGTTATGTTTTTCTCTCGTAATGAAGCCAACTCATATGGATCCACAAAGAGTCCTGATGGAATGGAATGTTTAATTAAGAGCCGGCAGGTTTGTAAGTTCTCAATGCTCTCTCCAAATTTCACTTTTATTAAAAGGTCTCTGTAAGACAAGGACATTTAATTTAAAATAAATCTCTTCATTCAGTTATTAAATAAAATAAACATTACATTCATAATAGCATAGACACTATATTTCAAATTCATTTTCCAAAAGTAGATTATCATGTCAAATGAAATATAGCACAAGAGATCACTGATTAAATATTTTACAGTTTTATGTCATGAGACATTGCACAGCACTGGTGTGAAAACTGATGAAGATCAATGGAAAGGAATAAAAGCCAAAAGTAGCCACACATATATAAATATTTCCAAAAATGAACCAATATGATTTGATGGGAAAAGCCATGTGTCTTTCACCAATGGTACGGACACTGGTTATCTATATAGAAAAAGACTGATTATTTCATAAACATCTGCAAAAATTAACTTAGGTTACATGAGTGCTGCTCTTACAGAGGACCTGTGTTCCGTTTCAGCACCCAGGCTCCCACAGCCTGTAACTCTAGCTCCCAGGGATCAGACACTTCTGTTCAGGTACCTGCACTCACACACACATGCCTAAAGGCACACACATACCTGTACTCATACACACATACCCACAGGTACACACACAGCTGCATTGACATTACACATATCCATAGGCACATACGCCCGAATTTAATGTAAACATGCTCACAGGTATGTACACATACCTACAGGTATACACAGCTGAAGTCACACAGACATACCCACACGCACACATACACGCACACAAACTCGTACATGAGGTAAAAATACCTGCACTTGTGCACACATACCCACAGGAATACACACACACACACACACACACACACACATGTATATGTAAATCTATGTATATGTGGACATATATGTATAAATTTATATAATATATATATAAATTTATAATATATATAAGTTTTATATATATTTAATATATATATATTCCCCCCTCCCCAAGACAGGATTTCTCAATGTAGCCCTGGCTGTCCTGGAACTTACTCTGCGGACCAGGCTGGCCTTGAACTCACAGAGATCCACCTGCCTCTGCCTCCCCAGTGCTGGGATTAAAGGCGTGCACTACCATGCTGGCTAAAATATGTCTTCTCTAAAAATTAGTTTAAAATAGGTTTTAAACTGGGGGAGGAAAGTACACACATATAATCTCAGCACTCAGGCCAATGCAGAAGGATCTCTGAAAGTTTAAAGCCAGCCTAGGCTACTTGGTGAGACTTTATCTCAAAACAATGATACGAAATAAGATGTATCATGATCCCAGCATTCTGTCCAGAGGCAAATTCTGGAATACAGTGCAAAGGGATCCAAGCACAGCATGGTGCATTTGCTTAAGGAAACAGCAAAAGACCAGAGCAGCTGGAAGTCACAGAACTAAGTCCAAAAAGGAGCTAATATTATAAATAAATAAATAAATAAATAAATAAATAAATAAATAAATAAATA